GTGTCTTAACTTTTTCGGAAAAGGAAAACAACACATTCAACACACTCTAAGGATAAAAGACAGGAAGGGCCTTCCCAGGGGCTCTGGTGCAGCAGGAAAGGAAGGCTGGGCATTTGAAACTTCTAGTTCAGGCTTCGCCACCCGCCATGAAGAAGCACCGCTCCTCTGGCCTCAGTTTCCTCATCTGTAAAAAGGCTCTCTTGAGCCCCCATCTGTGCATGCTGTTTGACGGCCTCAGACAAACCCCAGCTTCAACTCTGGATCCTAGCGAAATCTGTAAAAGGGAGATGCTATCTGGTATGGCTACTGGATTAAGTAAAATAACGTTCATAAGTGCCAGCACAGTGTCAATAAAAGGTTACTATTATTGCTTTCCTATTATTCGTAACTCATTACCCTCCGCAGGCCGGCCCCGCGGAGGGGAAGTCTAAAGCAACGCGTAATTTTAGAAAAAGCACGTATTTTCATTCATTTTATTTTTTTATTAAATAACTTTTATACTTTTATTTATTTTTTTAAAAAAAATCCAAATCTTTCTATATGCATTTTAAATTCATATTGAAAGGGAGGTTTCAGAACTCCGGGCTGCAACGCGCTACTGACGGGACCGCGTGGACCGTGCGGGCGGGCCGCACTCCAGGACAGACACTGCAGGCTAATGGCTACCTTCTCCCACCCTCCGCCGGACCCTTCTCCTCTGTCCCGGCCGCGCGCCCCGGCGCCACTCGCGCCCGCGCGGACAAAACATATGTGTATATGTTACCTATTCTGATTTACATTACAAGTAAAGCTGCCTGTAAAGTAAAACAAGCTTTCGGTGATTTCAAGCTTTCCTCGTCACACAAGAGCAAAATGGATTCGTCGTCAATGCACAGCACAAACTATCGTGCGGACTATGAGTGCTGGCTGTGGGCGAGGTTTCGTGGCCGATGAGCGCTGTACCGAAGTGGTTAAACCAAATCTGTGGCCAGGAAAATGCAATGCTCTGATTGGTCAGCCCTGAGGCTCCTGGACCCAGCAGCAGTGTCACCTGGAGTACATTGGACACTGCAATGTACTCTTGAGAGTTAGGGAGACAGTGATTCTCCTGCTTCGGCTCCCCAAATTACTGGGTTTACAGGCATGAGCCAACCCTAACAAGTGTCTTTCATAGGCCCTTTGTTAGGTGCACAGAATGATCTAGATCTTCATCCATACCCCTCCCTCCAATTCCCACAGAGTTCCCACCTTTCTTTCTCTTGCCTCCCCTTTTTTTCCACTAACGAAGAATCAGAATCATGTTCTCAGCTCACAGTTATTGAATTTATACCTTTTATGGGAATTTAACAGTATCTATCAACTTTTCCTAAATAGTCCTCTCCTTTTCTGGCTCTACCTGCCTTCCTTTGGCCGGACCCACAAGCTTAGCGTATTCCCATGGTAATGACTAGACAGGGATAAAGTGGGGTTGCCAGAAGAATATAGAACACCAGGTGAATTTGATTTCAAATAAATAATGCTAATTTTAAGTATAAGTATGGGCTGGGTGCAGTGGCTCATGCTTGTATCCTAGCACTTTGGAGGCTAAGCAGGAGGATTGCTTGAAGCCAGGAGTTTGGAGCCAGCCAGAGCAAGAGTGAGACCCTATCTGTATAAAAAATATAAATATTAGCCAGGCATGCGGTGTGTTCTGTGGTCCCAGCTACTTGGGAGGCTGAGACAAGAGGATCGCTTGAGCCAGGAGTTTGATGCTGCAGTGAGCTACGATGCCACTGCACGTCCAGCCTGGGAGACAGAGTAAGACCTTGTCTCAACAAAACAAAACAAAACAAAACAAACAAACAAAAATGGACACTAGAGATGAAGAACATTTTTTTTTAATTAAAATGGGCAAAGGGTCTGAATAAGCATTTCTCCAAAGAAGATATACAAATGGACGATAAGCACGTGAAAAGATATTCAACATCATTGGCCACCAGGGAAATGCAGAATCAAAACCAGTATGAGATAACACTTCCAC